CTAATTCTTCAGGCATTCCAGCATAACCCCTGAGTAATGACTGAGAAGTGATAAAGGACTTCTGGTCAAACCCACTTTTTCCATGTGCACACTGTGAAAACTCAAATTCTGGCAACTGTTTTTTCTAAATTTTAGTCAAAATTGTCTTAATACCCTGAATATGTCACACTCACCTGATTGAAAACACCAGCAACAATCTAAATTTGAGATATAACAAGCGAAACTTAAGAAGCTGATTAAGTTCAATAAGTGAAAGTATCAACTGTAACAAGCAGCATGTCAAGATTTATTGACATTTTTCCTCGCATAAGATAATAGCATTGCTTTCAGCCCAATCAGCAACTTAAAGTGTTCAGATTATAGGAGCTTTTTTTTCACCCCAGATATCTTTGCAAAGTAAATTAGGATGTTGATGGAAAAACCTAGAAAAAAGTTATCATGCTTTAGATGATTTTATATGATTGATATGTGATTTAATTCTTTTAGATTGATTACAATGTGATTTAATCCTTTCAGATGGATTTCAGTATGATTTGAATCATTGAAGAATGATCTTAAACTCTTAACCTTTTGGCTCTGCAGAATGGGATATGAAAGTGTTGAACTCTGTACCATGTGTTGTGCAAAGAAGTGAAAACACATATGTTCCTTAAAAATAATGCCATACATATGCAAAGAATTACCGAAACAATCATGTTCCTCTTTTGTAAAGGTCAATCGAAAGTATTGCAAAAGTGACCATTGCAGATGTGGATGACTATGCATAATCACGAAATAAAAGAGTGCTGTTGGAGAGGAACTGGCAGAGAGGGACTGATCGAGGACTCGAGAGGTTCTCCTCAGCCGTTCTCTCCTTGCAAGTAAAAAGTCTTTTGGTCTCTTCTGTGTTCCTGAATCCTCCGAGTTTGTTAAATATGTCCACTTGAACCTGACAGATGTCATCATGTGGATCATAGTCTGCCTGTTTTTGCTCTCCATACAACTGTTTTCCTATGGGCCAAAGAGTGAAAGCCAGGCTACTGCGCTGATCCAAAGTCCTGTTTTCATATGAAAGTAAATGTTGCATTTCATTATGAAACCAAGATCATACAGTCTGGAAGAAAAATGAAGAGGCCCAGAATCCAAGGTGTGAAGTTTCAACAATCTGGGATGGTTTCAGATGTCATCTGCTGCTGTTGGTCTATAGTGATTTGTCAAGTCCAGAGTCAACGCAGCTGAAAGAGTATCAGGAGATTTTAAAGCACTTGCTTCCATCCCTAGACTGTCTTTATGGAAATGCTGATTTTCTTTCCTGGTAGGACATAGCACCTGCCCGCAGCGCCAAAACTATTACCAAATACATGATATTTTTGGGCTGGATTCCCGGCAAACTGAACTGAACCTAGTAGAAAATCTGTGGATATTTTTCAGGAGGAGGAAGATGTAAAACACCTGAGGCCTGTACTACGAAGCTGGATTAACAAATCCAGGATAACTCTGCGACAACTCGCTCAACTTCACCGGATCTCCGCGATCCCGATCAGCTGTACTACGAAGCAGGATATCAACTCGATAACTGAATCCAGTTCAGATCTGTGCGCGCACACGTAAAGGGGGTCGGGTCAGTGCCACCGGACCAATCTCCACAATGGAGAAGGCTGCACGTCATTTTTCACAGCTGAAGAACAGAGCTTTATTTAAACCGTGAGACAGACAAAGCCGCTAAAAGCCGGAGGGACTGTCGGCAAAAAAAATCACCGGTTGTGTAAATTACATTTGTGCGTTCATAAATGTATGGCCCCCTAATATATTGTCATGCAGCGTGTGTGATCACCACCATCACTGACCTCATTATTTCAGATACAACAGCAGTGGGGAAAAGAGTACGTGGGAGCAAATAAAAATAAATCTAAAAACATCCTTTTAAGTAGTTTGTAAGTTTATTGGAAGATTTTATTTGTACGTACTTCAACGCGTAAACAGTGATTTCCTCACACTGCCTTTTTTTTTCTCCATCATCTGATGCTCACGTCATCTGCAGACACATTTGGGGTTAAGAGTTTTCTAATCTGCTTCAATGAATTCTGAATGATGACTAACAAATTTGAACCTGGAGCTTGGCAAGTATCAGTGTATTGCTTAGACTTCATGCTACCTGAATATTGAGGCCGTCCGAGGAAAACCTGTAGCGTTCATAGAGAACGTCATCAGGTAAATCAAACGGATTTGAACGATCATGAATATAACGCTCTCGGCGAAGCGCTCCTCTCACTATCCGTGCAACGATGTCCCCGGGATCCGGCAAAAGTGGGCAAGCCATTTTCCAAGAGATCCGATTGGTCATTGGGCGGTCTTTAATACCTGCTGAGCTCTTATCCTGAAACATAACCTGCTCCGGAGCAGGTTTGGCATTCCGCGTAAGTTACCGGGGCAACAGACCCGGATAAAAAGAGATCCACCTTCGTAGTACGGAAAACCCAGAAGTTATCCAGAAGTTATCTCGCTAAGACCAAATCCAGCTTCGTAGTACAGGCCTCTGACCTAGAAAATCAGACAACCTAAGGGTCATTATGTAAGACAAATGGGCACCAACAACACATAAGCATCTAAATACTGGCCCTGTTTTTAAAAGTTCCTTTATAATCAAACAAAAATTTGACTGTCGGAGGTTAGCAAGATTAGATTTTTGGTGTAAGACACTAATTAAGTTGTGGACAAGATAAACAAAAAACAGAGACTGCTTCATCCACCAAAATGGACAAAAACCAAAAGTTCCTCATAGGAGCTTTAAGCTTTCCTAATGTCTAAATTTTGATCTGGTTGCCTTAAAATATGTCAGCTCTTTTCGTATTAATGTCATTTACAAGATTCCCAGAGACACCCAGCCCTCTTCATTGATGGAGCTGCCAGCAGCAGGAAGGAAGATGCTGTCAGATGCTCATCATGCAAAGTGACGTGCTGCAGGCCGTCTGCTTTGCATGCTGCACAGTTAAAAATGTGAGCAGCAGCAGCAGCAGAGGGAGTGTGAGGATGCTTGGAGTAATTACCGAGCAGGAAATTGGAAGTTAAATGTTTGAATTATCACGTATCTGAGAGAAGTGATGGACCGATCGACAGTAGTGAAGCGAAGTGAATAAAAGCAAGTGAATCCAATTACTGTTTATGGAGACCAGCTGCAGAGCTGCACATGCTGGTGAGTGAAACAGAAGATAATGTTCAGATTCAAGCTCTGTGTCTGTTTAACACAACGGCTGTGTTAGTGTTTTATTTGAGCATGGAGACAGATTGACAGGTTTAGAAGAACTCCTGTTGTTTGGTAGAAATGTCAGAATTACGGGCTTTGGTTTGAAGAACTTGTCTGTCTCCATGAGAGTTTCCTGATGTCATAACATCTCGATAAGTCGCCACTTTGGATTTACAGAAAAGCAGGGTCAGTGTTTGCTCTCAGTGGTGTACAAACTCTGTTATCCGTCTGTTTATTTACGAATCAATTCATCTGTGATCCAGCCAGCAGTCATGTTCTGGATAAGCTTTCCTTTCAAAACATTTGGATTTAATTATCATGGGGATATGATATCCAAACAATCTGCTTTCTTCCATTAATAACATGATTGCAGCATGGCAGTGTGAGCTCAGGCTGCAGTCTTTTCAGATATTTTTGTGGATTTTCTGTCATGTTTACTTACTATTATGGGCATGAGGCAAAACTCAATTTAGAGTAATGATCCAGTTTATGTTTCTGAGTTTTTAAGAGATCTCTGCGAGGAAGTGTCTGAGGCCACAGCGCTGCAGGATACCGACTAGAAAACAAACAAGAACCCGTGTGACTTTGAACAACAGACGATGTCTCTCCTGTTTTCGTCCTTTTGCATGTCAGAGCAGTGAACACGAGGGAGAGGAAAGAGCCAGGGCTTTCGTCAAACTGATAAGAGAAACACTGAACACTGGGGAAACGTATGCAGGGTGTCACTTTACAGATAAAATACCACGGGGCATGATGCTCTATTTATAGACATTAAACATGGTGTCAAGTGTTGTCTCCTCCAGATTACAGTTTGGACAGCACGACTGCAGCACTGGAGTTCTGTTCATTTTGGCACCTCCTTTTACATCTTGTTTTGGTTGTCTAATGAGTGTGTTTAATGAATGTGTATTATTTCAGTCACATTTTAAATGCCTGATTATTATTGGAGGTGTGATTTTTAACTGACATTGACTAAGTCATTCATTTCTGTCCTTCACATTTACTATTTTATTCTTCCCAGCATTGGGGTTTTTCACTGTTGCTCGCTTTAATATCAGGAGTAATGTTAGGTATTTCTTTGATTTGATATTTTCTGAAGTCTGTGGATAGAAAATAGACTTATTTCTACAAACACAGATGTCTTTCCTATTATAAAGTGGTAGGTCCTTGTCAGAAAAGTGTGGTCTTAAGATATTGAGAATTAAAGATCCTGAGAAAAGATTTACACTGGCCTGGAAAGAGCAAAAGTTGAAAAACAGCAAGACTCAATATTTTTCCACGTTGTTAAATCCCCTTTATGTGTCAGTCAGACTGAAACTGGACTTTTGAAATACATGTAAATACTTAAATGAAATTTCTTGTAGTTGGACTAACACACCTTTTCTCTTTTATGACTCAAACTAGCCTAAGTATTCTGCATGTGGTTCAGAGTTTGCACATTTGGCTTTGGCCAGGAAGTTGCATTGTAGAAAGTCCAGTTGTGAACAAGCCCTCAGTAGAAGAAGACAAACAAACATACAAAGAAGACAAAGCCCTCGTGTTGACGAGGAGATGGCTCAATAATCCTGAACTGATAGGAGGCACTGTAATGGAAGAGTGCATGTTTTTGACAATAAATCAATTCTGGCCTGATGCAGTGCTTGTAAACTTGGACAAAGGCAGCTGTTCCATTAAATCATCTGTTAAAGCTTTAACTCTAGCTCCACTCACCTGTGCATGTAAACATACCGTCTAAATTTTCTTTATTGCTAATTCTGATATCTATATCCACTGCAGTGGTTTGGTGTAAGATGTTGATACATGCAGAAGAAACAGCCAAAGGGGGTTCATCACAGCGGCCTTCAGTTGTAATATTAAGAGAGATACTTGAATATGAGTCCAACTAGTAAATAAAATGCAGGCTTAAACCACATCCATGTATCAAGACTTCCACTGAGATCAGCAATGTGTCATTTCTATGAAACCATGTAGCTCCAATGATAGTTGTACACAATAGCGCTATACACAGTTGCAATGTGTGGACAAACCATAGACTGTATATAGAATAGACACTGTCTGCCTCCTTGCCGGGTGAAGCCACTGTGAGAACAGCACCCTCTTGTGACGGGCTGCAGTATAGGTCGTAAATCCCGCTTCCTCCAGCAATCCCTATGGAGTTGTGGTAAAACTTAAGAAAGTAATTACACAGAATATAGACTTGTGAAATAGAGTTTGCTTTAAACGCATGATTATGACCTCATGAGGGAGAACGATGTCCAAAGCAGCACTGCTGGGCTTGTCCACGTCTTTTTAAATCCTGACAACAAACTTCACCACAAAAAGGTGAGACAATAAAAAACAAGAATGTAAAGAATAAATAAGTGAATAAACAGATCAATGATTAACTAGCGGAAAGATCAAAGCATGTGCCTGAATAGAAAATTAATCTGTAAAAAGTAAAATACTGTACCTCTTTCTGCATTCATACTGATGTACTATGTATTAGTTGCATTGGTGCATCACAAATTTATTTTTAGATGACACTACAAATGTGTCTTATACAGAGTTTTATGCAATAAAAAGCTTTGACTGTATACTGAATGGACATCACGCCTCAGTCTCCTCCCCCTGTGAAAAAGAAGTAACTTTTTAGAGAGCAGGTTTGACTACAAAAAGCCCCCGTAGATTAAAACACCCGCTTTGCCTCATGTTCTCAGATCTGAAGGTGAGCTCGAACCACTCTTGTTGAAGGGCCGGTACTGAGTCATTAAAAGTTTAATATCTGAGAGGAAGAGCACTGCCAGTGTTAGGCTCTCCGTTCTTTGTGTTGTGACCTCCTGCAGATAAAAACACGCAGCAGTCACAGTGTTGAGTTTCACGAGGAAGCAGATCAGACGGCAAATCACTGAAACGAGCTGCGGCTAACGTCAATCGTTGGGGATTAGTTTGAGTGCTGTGCTCGTGTTTCAAAGAGCTTTCCTCATCTCTAAACTGGTCCTGATCGCCACTATCTGTCGGATGATCTGCTATTACAGGCTGGTGATACTACAGCCTCACATTTGGTCACCTTAACCTGTTCATTAACCTGCTTCTTTTAGCATTTTGTTTATTTTGCTGTTGTTTTTTATGGCAAAGGTCACATTGAAGATAGTAGTTGGTATTTTTACTGTGAAGTAAAAGCCTCACATTGAGTCCTGTTATCTTCGTCTGATTACAACCTCTCTGTGGGTTTCCTCAAACTCACTCGTATTCACTTCACACTCTCAGGTGTTGATGTTTCCTCTCTGTGCAGTAGTCTGCAGTGTGCAGTTCAGCAGGTTCTGTGTCTGGCTGCTGTTTTAGTATGATTAGAGCAATGCAAACAACATGCTAATGAAACATGGGTAATGGGTATAATTAATCAGACTTTGGTCAGAGTGTTGATTTGTCGGCTCTGATGAAAATTAATACACTGACGCATGAATTTGACACCCTTCCAGAGAATCATTAAGACTGAAATTAAATTTACATTGAAACAGAGATGACATTTTCCAGATAAAAGATAAACAGACTTGTGTGCACATTACGTAGAGCACTAATTTGGTTTTTATGACACCAAAGGATGTAAGAATATAACACTTTGTAATTGTGTGCTCTGCTCTTACCAACCTTCTCTTTCCTTCCTTTTCAAGCAGGATTTTTTGGGGGCATTTAAGTTTCCTGGAGTATTACAAATGCTGTACTTAAATCCCCTCAGGCTTACTGTACTTTTACAGCAAAAGAGCTAGAAGCACAGTTCAGTTTGTTGTTTATCACTTTATGATGCACCAAATGTTTTGAATAGATGACAAATCAGGACTTAATGTAGGCCTAACACCTGGACTCTTCTACCAGGGTGACCATATGTCCTCTTTTACCCGGACATGTCCTCTTTTGGGGGGCTGTCTGGCCTACCCAGGGGCGATGTTTTTTTTTTGTAGGATGGTAGGAAAGAGTCCTGCCTCCTTCGCCTCTGATTGGCTCAAAAAGCTGGAAACGTCATCACACACTCAAGCCAAACGCAGGCTGTTGGCTCTGTACATCAAACAGAACATTATTGCACTTCTGAATCTCCTAACCCTAACCCTAACCCTAACTCGACGGACAACGCATTCACAGCCGTTAGGAGTAACCAATCAGAGCCCAGCACCCAATCAGAGGCAAAGAAGGGTCTAACAACAAAAAATTTCGCTACCTAGGGGCAGTTTATAAAATGTATTTTAAATGTCCAGGGTTTTCTATGGAAGCCCATTTTTCTTTTCAATGGCAGGAATGGGATTCCATAGCTTTGAGTTTGTGTAGCGTGTACTTTATCTTCGCACCACAGACCATTATATTTGCCTTTCATGTTCAATGGTTTATTTGGAAACACACTCTGAGAGACAGAACCCTGGAACATGTATTCATTCATTGTAAAACAGTGCAGCGCATCAGTGCTCTCTGCTGCTCTGCTCCTCCGATCAGTTCTAAACAAAGCCACTGACGAGACGCACGCATGCACTGTCCGCCAGTAAGCGAAAGAAAAAGGAGAAATATTTGTATGTGACTGATAATTTTGTTGTGGAGAAATGCTTTAGAAATGAATATATTGTTTATAAACGCAACTTTGTGTGAGTATTTTTCAGTACCTCCAAGAGGCCTGGTTAAGTGTCTTTTTGGTAATTCAAAATACACGTTTAACTGAGTTAGAAGCGCATAAAATGACACTTGACCCAACCTGAAAAACCCTCAAAATTTTGCATGTGTGCGCATAACTCCTTCTACCTCTACTCCAGAGCCAGACTGTTGTACTGAATGCAGGATGTGGTTTGGCATCATCTTGAAGGCAGCATATGTTGCTCTAAAACTTGTATATATTGATCAGCATCAATTATGCTTTCCCAGATGTGTAAGTTATCCATGCCATGGGATCCCCACAGTTCCGCTAACAAGCCAGGTAGTCGCAGTAAACAAGACTCAGCTTCCAAAAAGAATATCAGGTGATATTTATTTACCACACAAAAGTTTTTCTACCCCCTCAGCCCATCCGGATCAATTTTGCTTTCCCCTTTGCATGTTACATTTCTAACCTGAGTTTGCAGGTTAAAAAGTGATAGTAAAGTGATACAATGTGTTCACAGAACATGTTTTTGGGAAGTGATGAGAACCCATGCAGTGATTTCCAGTATAGAGTCATGTCTGTTTTATTTGCCAAAGGGCCTGAATCACATCCATCTGGTATCGGTTTTTGGGCCTCGTCTTGTTTGTACACAGATTTGTTGAAAAATGTAGAAGTGTTTGCACATGCAACCTCTCCCCATCCTTACTTAGTGAGGACTCAGCCCCTGTGGTCTGTCGTTTCTATACCCGGTCATGTTCATATACTGTATAACTAGTTACTCTTATTAACTGTGAATTATTCCTCCAGTTTTTTTTCTTTTTTAATCACATCTTTCTTTCTCATGACTTTCTCATGATCCCAACATTCAAAATTAGGATTGCGCAGCGGTGCTGTTTAGGTCCAATTATTAACTCAAGTGGTGTTTTGCAGTGTATTTTTTGTGACAGGTTCCCAATGCATGATCAGTTTTCACCTTAAGTACTCTTGGACCTAAGACTGAACCATCTTTGAAAATAATGCGTGCTTTCCCTGTTCAATGTGAGCGTATGGGTGCACTGTCAACAGTCAGCCAGTTAAACTAAGGTGAAACTTCACTTTGGCGTGTTTTGCACCTGTTCCTTCACCTCACATTGACACTTCCTGCAGCTGAATGCCACCCACATGTTGCTGCTCTGCTCATGGCTTACTGGGTCTGACCACATGTGTTTAATTAGAGTTCCAGTAAACTGAATTGGCAAACACATCCAGCCTGATTTCTGCTGCTGAAACAGCCTATGGGTTTCTATGATGTCTAATTACATAGTGAGACAGGAGTAATTGTGATAATAAGTAATGTGTTTAGATTGTGCAGAAGTCGGTCCAGATGTCAAACAGCTGTTTTCTCCAGTTTTTCTTACTTTACATGGTGTTGTGAGTGCTGCTGTCAGGTCAGCTCATATCTTCATGTAAATTTCAGCTCCTAAGAGTCAATGCATCTCTCTCCTCTGCACATACTGTAAATTCAAAGTGATGTGAATTACATTGTCCCATGTAAAGCAGGGAGTGTTTCTGACATGATGGCAGCACGGAGTCTCACAGTAGCATTATTGTACAGTAGAATAGAAACAAGGCTGTTAGGAGGCTGACTCAGATTATCTCTGTTATCAGTGAACTCCCGCTTTACATGCCGTATATGAAGCAGCACATGGGGCATATAGACAAGGATGCCACCTGTCCACTCATGTAAAAACATCAGAGGGAAAAAAAAAGATCCCCCATGATTAAAGAGACTGGAGTTTACACATACTTTTTAGCATCTTAAGAGCAAAAGGTGGTTATGATATCAAACAAGAGATAATCTTCATAGGGTAGCATCTGATCTGAGTTGAGCTTTAAAAACCAAACAGGTACGTCCACGTCTTCAGTAATATAGAGGCTGATCCTACACGATTATGTACTTTTCTGTCTTATTGTTGTTTCACCCAGGAACCCTCAATAACTCTGCACACGTGTAGAGCAAGTACAGTATAGTTCCCAAAAGACATCCATGAAGTTAAGAAGTGAAGCCTTGGTTCTATGTTGCTAAAAAAAGGCCTCTAGCTGCTCTTTTTTTGTTTTCAAATTTAACATAAACTTGTAAAAGAAAACATCCTGAGACTATCTTTCAGCAGAGACTCATTCTCAACCTGTCACATGCTACACATGTTGTTATTTAATAAAAACTGTAATTGCGAAAAACTTAAGCCCTAGACGTAAAATGTAAACGTAAATGAAAATCATGTTTTTCTCGTCGTCTACATGTTCATATGGCATTTTTCTGATGCTACAGGACATATTATGAGAAAATTAAGTGTGAAATTACATTTTTGAGTATTCAAATTGCTGTGAATCTCTGGCAGGCTCAGATACAGTGAGATTTCCTATGTAGCAAATCCAAGCTCCGCTAAGCAGGCCACAGTCGGAAAACTAGAAAAGACAATTGCAGAACAACTGTGTTAGTGGATTGCAATGCTCATAAGAAAGCTAATTACGATATTAACTTTCATCATGTCTCCAAAAACAATAGTGTCTGAGAGCTGAATAGCTCTTATGTTACTTCCCTCTTCTAGTACAATGTTAGGCTACAAGCTAACTCGAGAAGAAGTGTGCAGAGCAGCGCTGTCTCCGCCCACGACTCAGAGGTGAATTGCTAATAATCTACTGGAGCTTTGCAGATGTAAAGTCCTTAAAAGTGAAACGGGTAACATGATTTTGGCTAAAAATTTCATAATCACAATTTAAAGACCACTGAGCACACTTTCAGTAGTAAAAATAAATAAATAAATAAATAAAATAATCGGAGTGGGACTTTAAGCTCATGCTGTGACTTCCACTGTTGAGCCGTGTCTCTTTGAGCCACACGGTATCAGCTTTTGGTCCTTGTCTCATTTTGAACAGATGTTTCTCAAGATTCACTGAATCTTTTCATAAATTTTATCCACTGCAGCTGATGAAATCCTGAAGTTCTCTTAAATTTCAGATGAAGGAATATTAGACTAATAATGCTGAATCACCTGCTCACACAGTCTCTCACAGAGTCGTGAAAACTACCATCTGTATGCCTGAGAGACTTGACCTCCCCAGATTGCCCTTTTTCATGGTCTAATCATAATAATGACTTCACTCAAGCAAAAGAATTTCAACTTCTAACATCAAAGGCATCTTCTGCTGAGTTAAACAAGATTTCATAACAAAGGAAAGCCATAACTCTGCTGCAAGACAACATATTTTTGTACGTATTAAATTCAAAAAGTTGCAAGAAGACTTGTTTCCTAATTTCCAGAAGTAGAAAAAGAGGCCCAGTGTCTCTTTGGACATTTGCTCTCTATCTCTGTGGCTGATTAACAGTTGTGCTACAGTGTGTCAGATTATCATGGTTTAAATGGTTTATGACCTGGAATTAAGCATAAAGACATGATAGCATCTGTGTAGCAATGAAAAGAGACTGTGTGGTGCTGCATTATTTAGCCAAGGCGCAGCAAAGGAATAGAAAATAAAATGGGACCTAAAATGGAACCTTGCGGTACACCACAAGTAATGGCAGAGATAGAAAAGGAGTAATTACTTATGGTGACCACAAAGGTTCGCCCTTTCATCTGATCTCTGGGCTTCAGGTCTCTGTTGATGTGGTTGAGTTTCTTTGTTGCTGGGGTTAATTTTGGGTTTTCTAGATTATTCTGTTTTTTGTGTGTCTTAGCGCCATTTAATGCTCTTGGTTTCTTAATATGTTTTTAGGGTTCTGATATTTTTCAGATGAACTTTTCATGAGTTTCTTTTTTTGTTTTTGGGTGTTATTAACATTATTTTTATTAACTTGTATTTAATGTTGCTGTCATTAAAAGTATATCGACACACAAAATAGAAGTTCAAACTCAAAGCAGTAATCTGCAAGCTGCTATGCTTGTAATTTATGTTGGTTTTAAATGTGGTTTAAAGAGAGGATTTAAATCTCTTAAAGTTTGCAACTAACCTTGAATGACCCGTAGCTCTTGGGTGCCAAATATGGTCCCTGACCTTTAATCTCTGAGGTCAGATTTTGATTCACTGTATAAAAAATTAGGAATTAAGCACCAAGAAGGCCAGGAGATAAAAGTTCAAGACAAATTTGGCAGGTTAAATAACACCTTTGCAAGCTTTAATGAGTTTATTCTGCTGCTGTGCACAGAAAGGTTTTAAGATGTCATTATGAATTCTTGAAGCAGATTCTGTCTAATACTTTGCTGGGTTTGTGACACGGCTTAAAGGGATTGAGTTCATGAGACGTAATCCATGTTCAGACCAAGATGCTTTCTTTTATTTTGACCTTTCATTGAGAGCCGCCCTGACCTCCACATTCATACCTGTGCAGAGGAGCTGCAGACTTCAAAGGCTCCGAAATGAAATAATACAGCTTTAAATACGTGCGGGACGTGACAGGCTCTTATTAGTTTAGGAAATAAATTGGGTAAGTCTGGAGCGTTTATATGGAAAGATCAATACACTCAGCTACATTTACTCCATAATCACTCATATTAACTTAGAACAGACTCTTTTAGTGGGAAGATTTCATAACTTTGTGAATAAATCAAACTGTAGTTTTGTTATCAGGATCCAGCTATGGATCATCGCAAGGCATCAGATATAGTATAAAGCCAGCACTGAAAGAAAAACCATACAGCTGTCTCAGGGGGAACAGGGAAATGGTTCTCGATGATGGATCTGTCAGCAGCTCGTGTGTTTTAGTATTCTTCAGAAAATTATTCCAAATATCTGGAGTATGTCAGTGATAAAACTACGAAATGAAACCGTAATCAGTATAGTCTGCGCTTATCATCATCCAGACTTAAGGTAATAAAACATGCACATCTTTGTTCTATCATACTCTATGTTGGAGTCTATTAAAGGCCTGTAGGACCTGTGGTGCTTTGTTCAGTTAATTTTCAGTGAGTTGAGTCAAGTTTCAATGATCAGTGCAAACATAAAACTATTGAATAAACTGTTCAAAAACTGACCGGAGTCCCCGTTGTCCAGCTCAGTGTTACACCCTGACTTTTTTCAATGCTTACAGACATTTAATCACGACTAAGCGACCCACTGTTTTGGTTTGTCAATTTTTTTTTAAATTTTGTGCAATAACACTAGATCATTTAATCATCTGGCCGATAAAATGGGCCATTTGTTATGTCCAAATAATTGGCATCACATTGCCATTATTTTCTCTTTGCAGTGTCTTAAAAGAAACAAATGTAGATTCAACAAACATGTTAAGAAAGACTACCAGTCCGTTCCTGTGCCAAGTTTTAAAAGCAGGATCTATTTGGAATGGAGAAAAAAATGAACAAGGTTTTCTAATGGTAATCAATACTTTTTTGTTTCTAGGACATATTGAGTTTTGATATATTTTAACATTTTCTTTTTTTAAATTTGAAGTCATGTTCCCAGAGATTGTAACTCCTGAAAGAAAATACCAAGATGCTATTAAGTTGTAAAATCTTAAATTTCCTCACATCTCCAGTGATTTATGTTGATTAGATGATATTTCCTCCTCTCAAATTTGTCCCCTTGCAGAGATGTAGACTTGCAGAAATGCTGTTATAACTGTAGCTAAAAGCATATTTGGCATAGCGATTAAATAACCATGACTTTCCTATATCCTGACACAGGAACAGATAAGTGCGATGATGATATTCGACTTTAATGCACTTGTTCTTAGTATAAGTGTCTAAAATGTCAGGAATGTGCCGACCATCTGGCCACAGTTAAATGGATCATACTGATAAAAATCAGATATACAGCGGACATATGTTAGCAGTAGGACATTGTGTTTACAGAATACGTTTAATTTGATATTGAGTTAACGTGAGGTAGACACTGATCTCACTGATCAGATTTCTATTCAAAGACAGTGACAAGCTGTTATTTTATGTTGGTCTCTGACTTGGCAGCACATCGCTCACCGGGCCTGATTACTCTCTGAAACCTCTCCTGAAGAATGTAATGATCTCACACCATGAGCAGATGGTCTCAATCAATATTTGTTGATATGAAAGCCCATTAGTTTGCTAATTACATTTGCATAAACATTTCCCCATTTCATATTTACTACACTGAACAGGTTTTCATCCCGAGTTTACACACAGTGGCCCTCAAGTGCTTACACGTGTCTGGCGGAAATACTAAGTATACACACGTATACAGCCAACCGTGTACCGTATGCGTGTGTATTCATATCAGACATGTTCTGCTCTAAACAGCTCACATTCCCCTTCTGTGAATTCCTCACCATAAACAAACATTTATCTCTTTCTGCTGAACAAACATCGTGGTGATGTTGTTTGTGTGGTGAACGCCCCAACCTGATGTAAACAAGCTTTTGAACTGTGTTAAACCAAAGGTACAACCGCAAGAAGACTTTTCTGCTTGCTGTCCTGTACATCAGCAGTTTATAAGGTTTTGGTCTCAGTGGTTTGTTACATGAAGGTATTAAGTAATTGTTGCCAAATCTCGTAGAGAAAGACCTCAATGCACCTCCTGAGACATGGACTCCTTTCAGACCTCTGTAAGTGTCTTAAAGGATCTGGCATCGCAATGTCAGCAGCAGGTCCTTCAAGTCCATGGATGGTATTGCTTGTCCTACTCATCCTACTGATGTTGGACTGGAGATCTGGGAACTTTGGAGACAAAGTCAACACCTATAACTGAAGGTGGCCTTCTATCATTTCCCTGTGGTCCATCTCTGATGCTCATGTGTCCATTACAGACACTTAAAGAGGTGCATTATCTGACGCCTTTGTAATGTCAGATACTCAGGTGTGTCATTCTTCAAGATACAAAAGTAGCCTCGGTAAATCTTTCATAAGCTGTAGAAATAAGAGGGCAAGCTCCTTATATAAGGATCCAGACACGAATCCAAATATCAAACATTCACGTGAGTTTATCCGTATAAGTCGACCCATTAAGATTATATTGGTGAGCTGTCAGAGTCTAACGCCGTACCACGCCATCTATTTCAGGATAAGAGGAAAGGTATGTCTCTAAACTGAGACTAAGGCCATCCCTCATTTTCCCGGCCTTTATTAAAGTGCAGACGATTTAGCATGTCTTAGCAGGGAAGGTCCAGGTGCAGTTTCTAACTTTAATTGAAGACGGCTGTGTTCCTCTCAGGTGTGCTGCTTCCAGGACGCCTTTTACATACAGTCTTAATGTCATGTCTCCCTGGAATATTTTAATGAAGGAACCAGTCTGGATGTTATTAGTTGCACCTGCTGACGCATAATGTGCTCTCTTCTGAAAGGCAAATTCATAGTATGTGCTGCTTCACTCTCTGTTATGTTCAACAAAAGGAAATGGTACAAAGTGCAGCACCCCAGAATTGATTCACGGCCCTTTCAGTCAAAGTAGTGACTTTTTAAGTGAAAATACTGTCAACTCTGCAAATCAGAAATTGTTTTTCAAGACAAAATTTCTGCGATGTTCAAGCACAAGAAATGGAAGCATCTCAGGGGGAATATCTGAAGACAGCAGCTAGAGCAACACATGTAAACTGTGTGTTTTTATGGTTTCCAGGGGCTTTTCTATCCCAAAGACAACATTAGTGTTTTGTTTTAGAGACTTTGCACAACTGATCCCTTAAAAAACAAGGGTAAACAAAGGTAAAGGTGATTTATATTGTTGGCTAACTTTGCTAAACAGGAGGCTGCCATCTTTGTTTTGGTGTGTTGAAAAGTGTTCAGCTGACAGGCCCCTTCCTGGATGGTCAGGAAGTGTGAAATGGTCCTCTTGGTCACTGCACAGAACCTAATTTCTTACACAAAAGTGAAATTTACACCTTAAATTGTGGGACTTTTTGGGTTTTTTTGGACAGTGAAATCTGATGTGCTTATTTTACTTCTGATAACCATGACAGGGAAAGTCTAATGCCTCTGTGGTTGTTCCTCTAGATTTATTTCAACATACGTCTGTGAAATTTCAATTAAATGCTTTTCTTATATTTATTCTCACCAAACATCGGACGTTGAAGAGAAGTGCAGATCAAGTCAGTATTGGGTCGGTCCGTCAAAGACCACATCTAGACGTCAGTTCGACGTCCATATTGGACCTTTTTTAGACGTCGCTCTAACATTTAGAATTTGGACGTCATCTGAAGACCATATCTAGACGTTGGCACAACGTGCAAAAAAGAACCAAGATTCAGACGTCATTATTGGACCTCTTTTAGACATTGGAATGACGTCCACATTTGTACCTCATCGTCGAAAAAATACATTAAATAGATGTAATTTCAACAATGGGTAGTGCCACAACTGTTAAGGACTTAACCTGACATCCTTGTAGGCCTTGAGCTAGGACTCCAAATATGGGGTCATCGGTATCAACTGGGGGGAATAATTCTCATAGTGATTTTTGGGTAGGTATACACCTCTAGTACTAGAAAAAAATTGATAGCATTGCATCTGTGGTAGCTTTCTGTGTGTTATCACTCAATTTATGATTGAGCCCAGTTAATAATTTTTAATCAATATATTTTGGAGGGGTTTCATGTCCCAATGATCCCAGGAGCTATGTTGTCGGGGGCTTTATGCCTCTGGTAGGGTCCCCCATGGCAAACAGGTCCTGCGGGAGGGATCAGACTGGTACTCAGTTTCACTTGCCCAGAAGAGGGTCACCAGGGCCCTGATGCTGGAGCAAATCAGACAAAGCATTTGTGGGTGGCAAGTACCACATGAGATCATCAAGGTGGCAAACCATCATGTTAGGCCTGGTCAATGCATGGTTGCTTTACCCCTGAGACTACAAACTAGTCGGTGTCAAAAGGCCACTCAAACAAAGAAGCCTCCAAGCAGAGGTTGCCACAAGCCTGATTCTCCTGCATTCATAAAGGGGGTGCCCATTACCACCCAAGAGAGTCCGTACTGGTATTCCAGATGACGTTCGCATTGACCACGTTACACGCTGGCCAGTGAAATGTGAGAAACAAGGTTGTAGCGAACTCTGCAAAGTCAATGCCACCACCACTCTAAAATGTGACATACGTCTTTGCTTCATACACGAGTAAAATTGCTTCAAAACGTACCATTTGGCATAAGCTAATTCACTAAAAAGCTGTTCATAATATAAAAAAATGTTGAGATGTGGTGCTGATTATGAGCCTACGTTTTGAAGCAATTTTACTCCTATGTGAAGCAAAGACATATGTCACATTTTAGAATGGTGGTAGCATTGACTTTGCAGAGTTCGCTACAACCTTGTTTCTCACATTTCACTGGCCAGCGTATAACGTGGTCAGTGTGAACATAATCTGGAATACCAGTACGGACTCTCTCGGACTCGGACTCTCTCCCATGTAATTTCCGCCTAGTGTTATAAAATAAAATGCATGATAGCACCCATTTAGCTACCACTGCTGCAATGCTATCACATATTTTCTAACTCTATACATGTATACAATGTCAAAAATCACTATGCGCATTATTCCCCTGAGTTGATACCGACCAACCCCCCTGGCTCATGGTCAAATATTTAGATCCTGCAAAAAGAAATAGATTTCATGGTTGTACATGACTCTATGGTGAGATAATACATGCACAATACAGAAGACAAGGTGTTAGAAAACAAGGGGAATGTTTTGAAATTAA